CTGAAATCTATCAACGCATTAGTGAAGTTTTCTCATCAGGAGATGAGATTCTCTCACCTGAGGGAAATTGATGCATTCAAATGTTTATGTTTTTTTATGCTATTGTAATTTTTAAGTTTTATTTTGTTTACCCGATGATGGAAGGCAACCGATGAACATATGTGATTTTGGTGCTCTTTGCATATTTTTTTCCTTTGGTGTGCTAGCTTCTTTGGGTCCATTGTGCTTGGGTTAACTTGAGTTTGTTAGTGAGCAGTTGAGCTACCTCTTAGCCTTTGGTTGTTCGATTTCTGCTCCTGCTCTCTGCTTTTCCGATTTCCCTTGTTGTGGTTGTTCGGGTGAGGGTCCAACAGTGCCTTTATTGCGTCTTTTTTCTCTCCTTTGGTTGGATGTGATGGGAGGCTGAACATGGCTGTCGGCCTCCCTTTTCTATCCTATTTATAGGGGAGTTTTGGGCTGTTTGAAGCAGTTTTGTGCAAGTGAAAACTAAGTAAAAACCTGAGGGTTTCTTCTCTAGCTTGAGAGCTACTTCTTTACTTCTTGTTGCTTCTTCAAAGTCTTCTAATCCCCTTCTTCACTCCACAAGTGTCCAACCTAATGTATCTTTCTTCTAAAAAAAATTGAGAGTGGTGTTGGTTGGGCTAGCTTTGTTGGGATTTGCCGGAGTTGTGGAAGACGTTGGATTGGATCAAAGTAGCTGTGGTGGACCACTGGTTTGCATGTCCTTGAGCATTCTATTTACCTATTTCATCGGTGTATGTGAGGTGATCACTAGTTGGTTGTTCTGAGGGTAGTTTGTTTTTATTTTCTTTCTTATAAAACAATTTCAGTTTGTTTGATGTTATATGGTGATTTTGCTTACTAAGGTTTTGGGTTGAGTTGTGTTCTTTTTGCATTAGTGTTCTCCTTGGGCTTTTTATCTTGCTAGTTCCCACCAGCTGTTGGAGGAAATCTGATTTTGAAAATCAGATAATTTTTCCTCTAAATCTGATTTTAGTTGCCCAGATTCACCTTCCAAAACTTCGACCTTCTTCCTGACCATCTTTCTTCCCAAGATTTACGAGAAGATTTTCCTTTGGATGAAATTTCTTTACTGAAATTTTGGAATTTCAGCTGCCGATGGTCCCAAGAGAACGTTCTGATACCAATTTGATAGGAAATACTTGAGTTCGCAAGTAACCCTAAGGGTAACACTTGAGCTTGCAAGCAAACCTAACAAGGATTGGCAAAAACAGCAAGAAAAAGGGGGATTTTAGAGAGAAATCAGCAAAAATCATTCAAGAAATTTAGTAGATTTGAGAAGAAACACAAGGGAACTACTTTGATTCAATCCACGAACAAGAAAAACAAAGCAAGATACAAATTTGTTCAATTCTAAAGGAAGAAATACTCTCCAAATCTTTAGCAAAGCCTTGAGCCCACACAAACAAACCCTAGATCTCAAAAGTTCAATAAATCTCAAGCTAACCCCAACCCTAGTCTCCAAAAGACTAATTAAAGCCAAAGGAAGCTTACAAAATCCCTAAACAACCCCTAATTCTAATTTCCCTCCTAAACACAATTTAATTAAGTTGAGGGCCCCACTAGGGCTTCCGCCCCCCTGGTTCTGCCCAAAGCTTGGGTCGACGGCTATAGCAGTGAACCGGTCCCTGTTGGACCGATTCAGCCGGCCCCTCCTGGGCCGGCAACGTAACAGACCGCCTTCTTGGCACTAGTAAAAACTATTCAAAACTTAAATTCCACCCTTAAAACTCTTTCTTATAATTCATGTAACATGGCCAAGAGTCACCATTTGCCATTTCTCTACACCTATTTCCAAGTGTCACAAACTCATACTCCGCCAAAACTTTTTTATATAGATGTATAGGGTCCTAACCTAAATTTATCTAAGGATACGTTTTTCATGTTCTTATGGTTGAAGCAGCCTTATCCCATTAGCTTTGGGTTGGCACCCTTCTAATAGGACTTTACTTAATAAAATATAATTCCCTCACCCAACATAAAGAACATTTCTATTTATCTACTCCTCTACCAAACACCTCCAGACTACTCCCATCCAAAAACACTTGGTTGTTTATGCTATCCTTAGCTCGACTCATATTCTCCCATTAAACTGAGCCCAAACTTGTAGCATATGTGTTCATCAGCTATACACTTAACTCCAAAGGCTACAATTGCTTCAATGCCCCACCCATAAAATCTTCATATCCAGGCATATCCTCTTTGATGAACAAGTCTACCTTTGACCACACAAGCAATTCATCCTATAACTCTCCTCTCACACTTATTCTAGAATCTAGAACCACTTCCTCATTGACAAACTCCACAAACAATAACATGAATTCGGACTCCACTTCAACCTCCTTAGAATCCAATAAACCTTATAGTGCTTCATCTCAATCCTCAAGTCACATAACTTCACCTCAATTTCTACCCAAGAACACCTCTCATCAACCTTGAAGCTGCATATCATCCAACCGTTCCCTCTACGCCCCCCACCCATCCCGTCCTCACCAAAATCAAAATAGGACACTTGAAGCCAAAAAACATTCTAAATCTTAATCACCAAACCACCACTGTTCAGGATCTAAAATGCCACTCAATGGCAGTAAAATACACTCATTGGTGCAAAACCATGTTGGTCAATTTCCAAGCCCTTCAAAATCAGGGCACATGGATCATCATTCCACCTTCATCACATCAAAAACTCCTAGGAAGTAAATGGACATAAAAAAAAAAATTAAAATCAATTCTCACGGATCAATTGTCATGTACAAAGCTCGATTAATAACCCAAGTTTCAAGGAGCAAGACATTAATTACATGGAAACCTTTAATCCATTTGCCAAAATGCAAAAAAACTAGGATTCTTCTAAGAGTAGCTCTTTCAAAGAAATGACAAACAATCTAATGCATTTCTTCAAGGACCCCTTTAAGAAAAGGTATGCATGACTCAACTGCAAGGTTCGTCGATCCCAATCATCTGCAACATATTTGTCTTCTCAAAAAGGTCATTTATGGCCTTAAAAAAGCTCCTCACCAGTGGTTCAACACCTCCGACTACCTCCACCACCAAGGCTTTCGATCCTGCTCAGCAGAGCCTTCTTTACTTCTGTACAATCATAACAATACAATCATGCATATTCTCATTTATGTTGATGGCATACTCCACATAAGCAATGATCCCAACTGCATTTCCAGGATGATTTCTAAAAGAATAGATTTTGTGGGATGGGGATTTTGGATGGGTTTGTAATTTTGCATTCTTTCCATATGTAGGATGTCTAAGGCGTACTGCTTTTGGCTTAAGTGGAGGCCGTATGTGGTTTTGGATGCATAAATGCACGAGACATAGGAGAGCTCCCCCAAGTTGAGCATTGCAAAATGATGTTCGAGCTCATATGTGGTTTTAGAGGCATGAATGCTCAGGCTGTAAGAGAGCTCCCCCAAGTTGTGCATGGTGAAATATACCAAACATTTATCATCTAGTAGGGTTACTACAATATCTCACCATCACCAAATTGAACATATCCTTCACCAACAACCATTTATGTAAGCATATGCACCACTCAATGACCATTCATTTTCAGCATATGAGATGTCTACTCAAATGAGTACAAAGAAAACTACACGCAGACCTTCCAAACAATCTGAGACACCTGAACCTCCACACCTATTAGGCTATTACACTCAACTTAGGCTGACAACTCCACTAACTGCAAGTCCACGACTCAGTATTGTGCTAGTTTCATAGTGTGTTAAGAAGCAAACTATTATTTGTAGGAGAATTTTCTTGTCCTCAAACGGATTGCATATTTTTTGATCGAGTACGGCATAAGAAGAATGATATATTATCCCGAAGAATAAAAATATAATTTCCTTATGGACTCAATAATAAAATTTACAAATATGGACTTCGACCTTCAAAAATAGCAATTTTCTTCTTCGAAATCCCAGAACAGCCACTGAAATTCACCAAAACAGCCTACCAAAGGTCCCAAAAACAGCTCTAATATCAATTTGATAGGAAACACTCCACCACAACAGTTAAAGCTGTTGTTTCCAGACAAAAAAAACAATAATAGAGCAGAAAACTCAAGAACAACAGTAGAAACAGTGAAAAATCTGAGGGAAAACACTTGAAATTCTCTAGTAGAAGAAGAAAAATAGCAATATACAATTGATCCTCTATTCGAGAGGAGGGTCTTTCTCTCCCAAATCTCTAGACGCCTCTAGAGCCCAAAGGAAAACCTAAATCTAAGATATCTCAAATTTCAGCTAAATTCAAGATGCCCTAACCCTAGGACAATAAATTATTTAATGCATACAATTCAAAAGAAAATCTCTAAACAATCCCTACAATCAAATTTCCCTCTCAAATCCCTCAAAAATCTTTCCCAAAAAGTTTCCACTGAACTGGGTGGTCGGCTCCTACGTACAGGAGGCGGAACTCTCCACCAGTTTCACGTAATAATATCCTCCTTAGGTCGTAAATGGGATGAAACTTTGAATCCCTCGCCGCCTTCCCCCGATAAAAGTGGTAGTTGATTCTTATAAGACTAGTGAATCCGATGAATGCATCTTTGTTCAAATTTTGTTTTCAATTAGCTTGGCTATCCTTAATAGAACTTTCCAAACATAAAATGTTAACAAAATAAAACACAAGATAAAAGTAACTATATTGATTTTCTTCAGGAGTAGCCAATATACTCCTTTAGGTTAAAAAGCCTTAGAGAGTAGTCTTCTGCAAGCTATAGCTGATACAAGATTAAATTCATACACAATGCCTGATGCACCCTCCAACGGAGGAACTAAAAGGAGTTGATCAATGCAACCTTGACCCTGCATTACAGAAATAATTTATATGATTCAAACATGTCACAGCTAGGCCACAATGAAGTCAACCTAACTCGTCACCCTAGGCCCACCCACCAATTACATGTAAACGCTGGTGCATAGCAAAGATTAAAATTATGAGAATATTTTCAGAGAAATACGTACACCGTGGTTGGACGGTTACTGTAGCTTTCTCTCCTTTCTTCATAGTCTTCAAGACTCTAGGTAGCGCTTGGCATAAATGTTCTGAAAAGAAACAAGACTATCACAGTGCAGGACACAAACTACTTCAAGACAATCAAAGCGCTCATCAAGGAAAATACTGGAAATAAGAGCAATAATAAATCTTCTTAGCATTTAGGCATTTTTATAAAATAGAATAAAATGCTAGATATTCAATCATTGGTGGTACTAAAATTGAAAGAGAATAGAAAAGATATGAAAATTTACAATAGTTTTTTATATATTTCAGTATGGACAATACAAAGCTGTTTACATAGACTTTTCCATAGGCCTTTTACAAGGAAAATAATCAAAGCAAATTATATTAAATAAAAAAATACTAAAGAAATTTGCAGCTAATAGATCATGGGAGCCTAGACGGCAATCCAATGGCAACAAGCTTCAATCTATATGCTCTCAATCATCAAAGTTGATTGGTTGCAAGGGAAATTAGATGCATGATTAAGGACTGCTAATTTGGAAGCAATCAGGTTGTGGAAACCACCAAATAGGGCTGATTCCCATAGCAACCAGGATCGGGCAACTAGACAAGGTGGATGCGGCTGAGGCAAAACTTATGACACTCCCCCTCAAGCTGGCATGAAGATATCACTCATGAAAAGTTAGTAAACCAAATATTCAAAATATAGTCTAAGAATACCTTGCTGAGATAATCAGCAATTTTGTTTGTTATAGGCATGTAGATCATAACATCACACCACTATCAATCTTTTCTTTAATTAAGTACTTATCTACCTCTACATGCTTTATTCTGTTATGTAAAATAGGGTTATATGCTATAAAAATTGCAGCTTTTTTGTCACAATAGGCTTTCACAGATATTGATGTTTAAACTTTTAATTCTTCTAAGAGTATGTTCATCTATACACTTCACAAAAGTCATGTTCGGCCTCAACACTACTTCTAGCAACAACACTTTGTTTTTACTTCTCCAAGTAATCAGCTCATCTCTTAAAAAGGAATAATGTGTGGTCAGTTTAACTTTGTTGAAAATCATATTTCCTGATGACGTTGTCAAATCTTTCAAACCATACTCGAGGAGAGAGTTTTAGCCCATACAAAATTTTCTACAACTTGCATGATTTCTCCTTTCCTAAATTGCCTTCAAATCCAGAGAGAAGACTCATGCATACTTTTTCTAGCAAGTCGTCGTAAGGAATGCATTATTAATATCAACTTCATAGAGTGGCCAATTGAAGTTCACTGTAAGAGATACAGGTATTCTAATAGAATTGATTTTGATGACTGGAGTGAAAGTCTCTAAGTAGTCTATATCATGGATCAGAGTAAACCCTTTTGTCAAAAGTCTCGCTTTGATCATTTCATAGAACCCATCAGCTTTGCATTATGCTAAGAATACCTATTTACATCAAACAATATCCTTGTCTTTGTGTAAGTAAGCACTGTTCATACATTTAATATTGATTCCCTAAGTCAGAGTATATTTATGAGACATTATCCCATAAATCTTTGGCAGGGGAATATCATACAGAGTTTACACTTATCTCTTTGGTCATTAAACTGACGAATAGTATAAGTGGGATCCTTCATATCAGGCTTCTTTGCATCACCAATGATGTAATTGATTTTTCCACTCCCCCTAATATGCATTCAAATTAATTGGTACCAACAAAGAAAATTATCTCCATTCAATTGGATGGTGTGATTTGAACGGGATGATTTTAATATGGAAAATTGATGTATATTTGAATGAAGGTGGAGTGGTTGTAACATCGGACATTATGAGAAGAGCACAATAGATACTAAAAGAATGATTGCGGCCTATGGTTTGTGCGGCATCTAGGGAAAGAATATGCATAGGAATCATTCTTTGGTTATAATACCTGAAAATTTAAAATAGAATAGAAAAGATATGAAAAACTAACATAGTTTTTCTTGTTATCAGTTTGTACTACAAGAGGTTGTTTATAAAAACTTGTTCATAGGTCTTTTATAAGGAAAGAAATCAAAGCAAATTATATTAAATTAAAAATAGTCAAAAGATCTCCCATGGGGACCGATGGCTAGGTGAATCCGTGGGAGCCTAGGTGGCAGTCCAATGACTACAAGCTTCAATCCATGTGTGCTAAATCATATTTGATTGCCTACAAGGGAAATTAGATGCAGGAATTAATTACTACTGATTTGAAAGCAATTGGGATGTGGGGACCAGCACATGGGGGCCAATTCCTATAGCAGGCAATTGGATAAGGTGAAGGTGGTTGAGGCGAAACTACTAATGGGATGAATGGTGAATTAGGGTGTAGGTATATGAAGAGGAAGGGCACGTAGGTATAGATTTCTTCAACCATATGAGCTTGCTTTAGAATTTTTCACCCCCATATATGAGCTTGCTTTGATAATGTGTCGCTACTTGAATCATTGAGAGGGATGTAAAATAGTGATTTCTAAGACCAAGGCCTTGAACCTTCATTATCCATCATGCTCATGAACTTCCGTGGCCCTCATACCTAAAATATGACCAGTTCATTCCATCTCCCAATCATAGGCACTAAATAAAATTTTTTAACCTTTAATTAGTTGTTCAAGCTTCCAATATTAGGTTGAAAATTTTCAAGAAGACATCTACAAAACACATACACCTAAAAAAAACTTTCATGTTATATAGAACACATTGCCACCAGCATGCATCTTACACACCTAGACACATTTGACACATTGAAAATCGTGCTTGTTTTTTTTTTTTTTTTTGGTCGAAAAAATAGAGTTCGATACAACTAAACCATGCCCTGACAATTATAGGGAAAGCCCAGACACAACCTAAACACACAATATTGGTGAAATTGTTTTTCTCCCAATGAGTCAATTTTATAAACTATGTTTTTTTATATATATAGTGAAGGGACTATTTAAGAGAACATTAGCATACATGATAATAATGATCGTGATGTTGGATGGCTTGGGTTCAATTAGTGATACATCAATGAGATCATAATTTGAGAAGTTATTTTGAAGATTATATAAACCTTGATGTTTTCATTTTTTGTAGATAATATAACGTAATATTGACATTTATGTTTTATTATGCCTGTTGGTTTAATTCCTCAACTATAGACTTTCCTAAAGGTTTCCATATCAAACATTATGTCAAACACATAGAAATAGCACCATTAGAAACATGTCATTTTGATGCGGGCAAAAAATCAGGGGGATGGGGCACCCGAGGACCTCCGCCGGCACAAAGGGGGAGGGAAGACACGACGCGCTCAAAAAGGGGAGAATACGACGAGCGGAAGAACAAACTCTTACATTTCAAATCTAAGACAGACTTAGAAATTAAAAATAAACAAACCGGCAACTACAAATTATAATTAAACGACTTTTAAACTCAAATCGAAATCAAAGACAACCTAAACTTGCTTCACTTAGAGAAGAAGGACACAGGTGAGGTATAAACTTGCGGAGAAACGAAAGAGGTTAGAAGCCGAGAAGAATGGTGGAAAGAGCTCGCAAGATTTCCGGAGGGGATGAGAAAAGAAGATGGACAAAGCTCGCAAGCTTCTCCAAGCAAACCCGCAGGTTATAGCTTCCAAAAATAACTTATCATTCTCTTTTTTAAAACATAACAAACCCCTCATATTTATAGGTATGAAAGGGGGAATACAAAAGGACACGACATTGAATTCACACAAGAATTCAAGCAACACAAGCACGGAAATCCCCCCATGCTTTTCACGGAAAAACAGCACAGCCCAGGAACCGAAGGAGCAACCACGGAAATCAAAGGAGTCGCACGGAACCGAGGCGCCAAAGCCACGGGAAAACCCCCCCAGCTCAGAAAACCAACAGCCACCATGAGAACCAAGGGGCCATGCACGGAAAACAGCAGTCCACCTTGGAAGCCAAGGAGCCATGGTATGGGAAACAAAATTTATTGGAATTCTAAAAGCCATTTTGGAATTCCAAGAGACAAACTTAATTAAAGACATAAAAATAATAAAAATTACATTTAATTAAAGATAACTATGAACTAAAACTTAGCTAATAATGAGCTAACCCTTAGTTCAATAAGTGAACTAAAGACCAGCTCATAAATGAGCTAAATTCCAGCTTAAATTTGAAATCAATGGAAGCCAAAAATCAATGGAAGCCAAAAATCAAATTATTTTGGGCTTGAGTTGATCCCCCCTTTGTCTACATCACATTTGAACTATTTGACATGGCTTGATTTCAATTTTATTATGACTCTTTTCACTTCTTAAATGCCTCTTGATAACTGCACAAAAACAACTTGGGAAAATTGCAACTAACGTGAAATTTGATCAACTTCATGCCAAGAGTTTAGGAAATTATAAAGAATTCCAGACGTTGCGCAAATATGTGTTACACAAGTAGCATACAATACATGCATGCAAGCACATAAAAACACACAGAAGAAAAGAAGCTCGTCTACATGCAATTAAGATATTAGAGGAATGTAGGCCACTGATAGTATGCTGACTCATTGCACTAGAGTTTGGCTATAAATAGTACAATTTTATACATGTTAGATGTGTTGTATCGTATTTCTTTAATATTTAATATGTTGAAGTGTCTAAGATGTGATCAATAAAAAGAGAAATGAACATCAAAGTTTTTTTTAGAATTGTGCATTTAATAACTAGTTCAATAAAATTAGTTGTCATCTCTAATTTTTACACAAAATTCAAACTTTGGTTGATGAGAAATCAACTTGAATTTTTCACACCCAAATGATGTTAGCCAAGCTTGAAAATCATTTATTTGAAGGCACATCAAAATGAATTTAAGTTGAGCTAGATCAAGTTGAAGATTAAAAAGGGGGAAAAAATTGGTATACATCATTCTCAAAGTTTTAATACAAGTCATCGCTACTACTTAAAACCATGTAGACACTTAGTAGATATAAAAATAATATGCAATTATTAAAAGCAACAATCATACAGAAATCAAGCAAGGCATCCCTGGCTTAAAATTGGCTTGAAATCTAATTGTAAAAAATTTTAGGCTCATAACTCAGCTTGATTGATTGATTTGATTAAGCTTACAAGATGTTATCAAGTGCGTTAGTGGCCTCGAGCATTCTTATTAGCCCTAATATACATAAATTATAAAGAATACCTTGACTGACATAAAACTGCAAGCCACCTTCGGGAGTTTTTGCGACAACTGTTCCATCAAGCAACCTCAACTCATATTTTACTAAAAGATGAACATCAAAGAGAATGTCAATCCACAAGTATATTTAGGAATAATTTTAAGGAATTATTGCACATTAGTGTGAGAATTCAAGTTGCAAGGACATGTACCTTTAACTTCGTCCAAATCACCGGTTTGCATGTCATCCCCGCTTGACAAAACCTTCTTAATTATTCCACGATCCTTACATATGTCAACAACTGTTAACCATGATACTAGTTCAACTTTAAACTGGCAAATAGAAATAGAGGAGACACTTTGAGCGCCAGGATTCACATATCTCACAGAAGAAGGCAACGTGAACAAAGCCATTTCCCCCTTTTTCATTGTAAGTATTCCCTGATCTAATCCAGAGGCCACCTCGTCTGGCGAAACAAATATCATTCAGTGCAACTCAAACCTCATTATCATAAACTTACCATTAATTATTTCAGTTCAAACTTGAAACATATTAGATTAAAAGAAGGATATAAGAGACTAAATGTTCCAACAAACATCCACTGTTTTTTTTATTAAACAAGATTATCTCCTCTATTCCTTCCGATTTTAAGCAGTTTGCATTACCATGTTGCACGTAAAGGGAGATGCAGGGATCCCTAATTGACTGACAAGACCATGCTAAACACAACAATTGGAAAACAAAAGAAAAAATTTAAAAAAATTAAGGGACGGTGATAATACTAGTTCAAAGTTCACGGCACCCATAATAAATGTCAGGGGTAATGATATTGGAAACAAAAATACTTGAAATAAAAGTATTTATGAGCTTATGAATGACGAAAAAACGAATGGGAATCACACCTTGCCCCAGCCTATAAGTGAGAAGCTGCCCTTTATCCTTGCTGGAATCGGAGTTCGTTCCATCGAGCAATAATCCCTCGTACTGAACTGCGGATGCATAACACAATGAGTTTAAAATTAATATTTCGATTTTTTTTCCCCCCATACATCACCAAAACCTATCTCCACGAATGAAGATGTCGTAAAGGAACATGAAATAGAACCAGTGACTTCGTCGTCGAATACAGGGGTTTCCCAGCCGGAACCGGGCTTAAGTAGCTTCTTCTTGAGGAAAGCGTTAATCTCCCGCTCCTCCCCGACTTGGAGAGGGGGCGCCGATTCAATAACCTCGCCAGGCTCCTCCTCTTCGTCTGAATCCCTCGCCGCACGCGCCGCAATCGCTGACGAGAACGTGATTCTAGATCGGTGCATCTCCAGCGAGTTGGCGATCGCTGCCGATATTAGCTCACCGATCCCTGCAGCGCTCTCCTTCCAATCTACTGATAAGAAATTTGTAATATAACAAGCACAAAAAGTTACATGCAAAATATTTAAATTTTTATTTACAAAACTGCAATTTTTTAAAAACATACTATTTAAAAAAAATTATATAAACGCAAAAAGCATAAAGAATATTATTTTGTTGGGAAGAGTGTTTCAATTATTTTTATGATTAAAAAAAAGAATTTACATACATAACACTTAATTTCATATTATTTGCATATCTAACATTCAAAACATTAATATTACATATCTATCATCCATAGATCAAATTTATGTGCATGAAAATGAAATATTAAAATTTATAGGATGATATGAATTGTAGAAATGAATTAGAAGAGTGTTATATTTGATATTAAAGTTATATATAGATGTTAGACATGTAATATTAATGTTTTAGGTGTTAGATATGTAAATAACATAAAATAAAGTAGTACGTATGTAAATTTCTTTTAAAAAAATTAGTAAAAAATATATATATTTATTTGAAAATAATATTTTCATTATTTTTTTCAAACATTTGCATAGGGGATATTTGGTTGGCAAAAAAAATAATACAAATATAGCATGTAATGTTTGAAAAATAGAAAAAAAATAGTACCTCTAGCAGTGTTCTTGTTAAAAATGTTGTTATAAATGAAGATGAAAGATGTTGGATAGGATAATAGAGAGAAAAGTTCCAAGATAAGTTGAATTCATTAATCATATGGGAGGAGTTGTTTAACACATTCATAGATTAGTTCATACCTTCATTAGCATGATAAAAGATGTAGGAAGTTTTAACGAGGCTAAAACAAAGAAACATGATGGTGATGTACTATAAAGTTGAGTTTACTGCATTGGCTAGGTATGCACCTCAACTAATTAACACTATCAAGAAAAATGTAATAGACTTTTGAGGGATTAAAAGTTGAGCTGAGATATCTATTAGTACCACTAAGGATTCTATAGTTTTTTTGAGTTAGTAGAAAGAGTTAGAATAGTAAAAAATGATCCAGCCATTCCCAAATTCAGACATGATATGAGTAGGAAGAGAGTAGAGATGAAGAAGTGACCAAGCGAGAAAGTAATGAGAATTGAGAAGTAAAGAAGATTTTCTTATTTCAGAAGATGAAGATGATCTAGGGTAGCACATGGTAGTATACCAGAGTGCCCCTGATGTGGCAGGAGGCATGCTAGGTAGTGTTATTTGATCACATCATAGTGTTTAAAATGTGGTCAGTATGGACATAGGATGATCAACGACTGGCCATAGAGAAGATACGTAAAGAGATCAGGGTCCAAGATATATCAGTCAAAATTGGCATATGGGAAAAATTACAAGATCTAAAATGTGTAGCCAAGGATCTATAAGTGGGAGTTAGAGGCATCCCACACCATCAATGATGACAGTAATGGTACAACTAAGGGTATACAATTTGAGTTAGGAGGAAGTGAGAGACCACCTGAGAGGTCCATTAGTATAGTTCTTTATTCTTAATATTATTACTTTTAATTGACATACATTGCATAACATATTATATGGTTGATTGATTGACATACATACATGTGTAAATGAATGCATACATGATTTGAATGAGAAGATTGATGTAACTAGTAATCAATATTTTGTTCAATTTGTTAGTGGTTCATAGTGAAAAATGTCAAGGATGATATTTTTCTAAGGTGGATGTTGACCCTGTTTTTCACCTAGACTTGGGTCAAAGGGTTGATCTTGTAAAATTGATCAGATCAGGCCCCAAAGACCACCTCCCTTGTATTTAGTAGGTCAAACCAAGTCTGTTGAGCACAAACCCAGGCCCTGGGTGGACCCAAATTGACCTAATTCCCTTCCTTTCAATTTCAAATCCATTATAGGGCTCCTCAAGCCCAAATCTTACATCTCTTGGACTCAATAGGTCAAACCCAACTTATTGGGCCCAAACCCATACTTGGGTCAATCTGGTTGACCAAGTCAACCTAGGTTGACCCAATTAGCCTAAATGGGTATATTCAAGTTCTAATTCAATCCAACCACTTCATTGGCCCAATCCACTGACCTGTTGAGTCAATTTGACTAGGTGGACCAAGTCAAACTTTGAAATGGTCAACCCAAATCCTCCTTGGGTCAAATTGACCTATTTATGTCAAATTAGCCCTATTTAATGCATTAAAATCATTCCAAATGCCCCCTTCATGCAAATCCCATCCTAATTACCTCTCCTCCCTCCTAATCAATCCTAGATTCAATCTAGGCCATTGATCAAAGGCTTAGGCCTTTAAATATGAGAAATTATGGCTTTTCTAGGATTTTTTTTGCTCTTGCTCTTCCTCCAAGCATCCAAAACCCGAGATACTTGGTGTGAGAGTTCATCTAAGCCCTCCCCACTTTTTACATGTCAAATCCGCCATTAAATGCCTGTTGGCGATGAGTTTTCTGGTGAACCGAGGTCAAAGAGCATCCAAGGCGATTTCCTGATGATCCGTAACTCATTTGATTGCGGCGTTAACTAGGGAATTATATGAGGACAATCTATAAGCTCAACCAAACTTAAATCCCAAAGATCCAACGGTTAGTCACTACACTTATGGTTAATTAGCGTTGCATTAAGCGCATTTTAGACCACGTAAAGTACCCCCCACGGATGCTCTTCATGTGACCATTATACTTTTAAAATTTCATTCAATTTGATGCACTCAATCAAGAGAACAAGGCGATTATCGCTTTAGGGTTTCGGTCCGAGCGTTCGCGGTGGACCCTGGACTGTTGGATTTGTGATTAACAATCTAGATCGTGGCATATCATTCTCCAAATCCATCCCGCGGACCACTGATTTGGGTTGTCTAGCTCGATCAGAGCCATTCGCTCGAAACAGCGGAGGAACGGATGACCCTTAACCACATTGACGTGGCTAAGTAATTGTCGTGTCAGCGACAATCATTGTCACGATTATTTGGTAATAATTGATGATTGTGTCGCCATGCAATCATTGGTCGTGGTTTGAATTAGTGAACCCGAGCGTGCCAAGTGTCGTCCTATGAGTCGCCGCCGTCATTTTATTTTAAAATTAATTTTAAATCTTTTTTAAATGCTTTTTTACAGACTATATTATATAATTCATATAAATTATTTAAAAATATATATATATATACATAATATATACTATTATTTTTAGAAAAGTATTTTCATTAATTTAAAAATAATATTAGTCATTTATTATTATTATTATTTATTATTACTTTAAAATATTTATTATTATTATATTGGTTATTTTTTATTATTTTGATTATATTATATTATATTATAATTATTATTATTTTAATTTATTTGTATTTTATTTTTAAATTGTTTTTATTACTATTATTTTAATTATTATTACTTTTTTCAAATTTATATTGATTATTATTGTTTTCTTTTAAGTTATTTTAAAATTGTTTTATCATTATTTTATTATTATTTTTTTAAAATTATTATTTTATTATCACTTATAAAATATGTTTATTTATTTTAAAAATCAGAAAAGTTATTTTTATGTAATTTTTAATTTTAAATTAAATTTAATAATTAAAATATGTTATCATTTTAAATAATTTCTTTTTCATTTATTAATTACATACTTAAATATTTAAATTACTATTTAATTAAATTAAATTTAAATAATTTATTTAATTAAATTTATTTTCAAATACTTTAAATTTATATAATTTAATAATTAATTAGTTTTAATTTAATGATTATTTTTAAATAATAATTATTTTAAATTATTAAAAACCCCTTTTTTAAAATACATTAAACATCGATATTTCACCATAATTTTATTTTAAATCTGATTTTGATGTATAATATCTCATATTTTTTTAGAAAAATATGTATTTTCATTTAAAAAAATTTAGTAATAAAAAATTTATTCTTCTGGATTATTTTCATGTTACTTGAATAATTGATTATTTAAATATTATTTAAATAATTAATATGATTAAGTATTTTGAAACTACAAAATTATTTTCAAATCCCTTTTGATCCTCGCTTGGATGGCCAGTGGATCTCCCATATATTTATTTATTTTTATAAAATTATTTTTTTTTTTAATACATTTTTTTAAAATTTATTATATTTATATATATATATTTAAATTATTTTAAAAATATATATATTTTAAATCCCTTAATTTTGGGAGATCCACTTCGTGAAATTTTAAACATAGGTTATGTTCATGAATTGCATTCATGGGGTAGATGGGATTAGTGGTTTTTTGAGTTTCAATCATCCACTAATCGCATTTTAAAGCATGCTTAATTACTATTTTATCGTCTCTTACATGTGTAAGATGCATGAGCACTTAGCATAGGCTCTCCTAGATTTTAGGATTACCGTGTTTACTTTATTTATGTACTCCCTACATGTTGTCCTAAGGGTTAGTCTCAAACACCTATATTTAAGCCACTTAACGTAAGCGACACCCCTAAAGATAATAATTAAAAACCCATCTAGCAAATTTAAAAAAATCAGAGGAGCTAGGATAGATCTCTGGTTGACATAAAAATTTTATCAGTTAAACTTAGTGACATCTTAAACTTCCCATAATTTTTTTTAGAAATTTTTAGGACTGTTTAGACCCCTTAATTAACAAATCCTAATTTAACCCTTAATTAAGCCCTCAGAACTTCAAAAGATTTTAATAAATCCATTTTAACTCAAAAAATTAACCATAATACCTCAAACTCTCTAGAATTTAACCCTTAATCTTAGATAAATAAGGCCCCTTAATTAGACTTTAAAATGAGCCTTAATTTAATTGTAATTAAAAATTATTTTTTACCTAAATAAATAATTAAAAATTATTAAAATTATAATTTTTTCCCAAATACTTGGGAACATATTCTTAGGTCATTTATGACCTTTGGGAGTGATTCCAAGAGTTTTAGAGTTGATTTGAATAAAAACTCCTAAAACACCCTTAATTAAGCAATTCTAATAATTCATTAATTATCCAAATATTCAGAAATTCATAACTTAGTCTAAAAAATTTCAAACCTA